CCCCTACAGGTTATAATTTTTTAATCCCCCCCCCCCCCCCACAGTTTTAACGCGTTTTGGTTTTGTGTTCATCCACTGATAAACATTCAAGTCAAGCCAGTTAATCTCTATGCCCGCGCGCCATGTATCGCCTTCTAACCCCATATAGTTCTGTCTGCAGTTGAGTTCATCAATCACCACACCATTAATTCGCGTTTTTAGTTTTGGTCTGAACTGAAGAGATGCAACAGTTCACGATATGTGCAAGAACTTGATCAGAAACACTACTGTGGGAGTTTTGCGAGAAGATGCATTTGGGACCAAGTTACCCAACCTACAATGACGAAAGGTTGCAAGCCGCAGCCTTCCTGACGGAATAAAATACTGGAAAACAACTGTGGTTGATATCGATGTGTTAAGCATACAAGGGCATCTCTAACTAGAAACTGTACAGCCTACTATTTATGAGAGAATTGTTGCACCCTATTGTGCGTGGTCCAAAGCCAAGTATCACTCACACAATGTGAGCTGGAATCGGGTTTACAAGATAACATTACAAGATAACAATTTTCCTCTTGAAGTCTTGTGCTTCCATGGATATTAAGACTGGTCTTAAGATTGAAATGGTCTTAACGGGAGATTCTTTTGTTTATAATATCTACGAACTGAAGTGTTGCACACGAATAGTCCCAAGCATCAGTTGGAATGCTTTTCAATATATATGATCAATATATATGATATATGTATATGATCAATATAATATATATATATAATCCTTGCACATGGGAGTTCGCGTATGAAATAAGACCGCGAGAAATTCAGGGACTTCGCCTACTTGTTCTCTTATGTCATTTGGTGACTCATCACAAGGAGGCGAAAATGTGACTGACAGTCGCCGTAGTTTTCAAGGCGCTCAGTTTGAACTTCGTGAGACGATAAGCCAATTCACATTCCTAACACATCAGTCGTATGTAAATAATCAACTGCATGATTAAAAAACGTTCCCGCATCTGCAATGCACTTTACGGAGGACATAGTTTTCCATCACCCTATGTATCTGCGTTTGGGGTTGTAGCATCTCCCGATCTAGCTCATCCCTCTTCCTATTGGTTTCAGCAGTGTGTTTGATTTCGTTAAGGCGCAGTGAGTCGGCTAAGTTCAGTGTGTTCGAGATCTCTGATGAGCATAGGGGGTGGTGATACACATCAGAAGGCCAAAAACGACGTCAATCTCAATGCGGTGGGTTATTTTTGCCAGGCGTTTTGCTTGGTTTGTCTGATTGTTCACTGGTTACGCGCGCTTCCCACGTTACACAGGCTTATTACCAGGCGCACCCCAAGGCGTGTGAGTGGATCAGTGTGAGCTGCTCAGTTTACCAACAAATAAAAAACATCACATCTATCAACGAACATCGTACCTTGTAGGTGATTATCAAAAACGCCTTTCCTTTAATCGAGATTCACTGAGACTTACTCCAAAGTTGTTGGATACTAACAATACTACAAAACAATAGTTCCATCGCACACTGTCTGTTGTCCCCACTGTCTACAACTAGGCTCAATACTGAACTGCCCATGTTTTTCTCAGACCGGCTCACACAGTGAACATTTTTGACGTCCCGGCTCAGCTGGAATTTCCGCTCGCAAGATCTCCATACCAATAAGGCTAGTCACGCCCTGATAATTCAGCCCTTCAGCACATTTTGCATGTCTACACCAGGAATTCATCAGACAAACCACCGCACGCAGTGTAATTGACATTGTTCAATGGACCATCCGCTTTCACACCCCATGCACTTTTGAAGACAGTGTGGGCTGCGACAAAACAGGGGCGTAGCTTCACGCAACAGACACGTGAATCGAGCTTCCGATATCCTGATTGATGGTCACGCAGCTGAACCAGTCGTCTAAATATTGATTGCGTTCGAAAGGGTGGAGGAGCGAAAACAACCGTACTCTTGTAGAAAAAGAAGTGGCACAATCACACCAAGAATTTAGGTTCAAACTACAAGAGGTACATTCAATATCTTCAAGAATTTCCATCACTTAGCCCGCCAAACTAGAGTTCACGTGTTCTTAATCGATGAAGCTATGAGATTATTAGAGGGCTACGTTCCTCTTTTTAGGCTGCAAATCTCGAAGTAGGGCTTCATTACAGGTCCGCAGAGGAGAATCGCTTCAAGACGATGAGTTTATTTCCAACTGAGCGATAGCGCTCAAAACAATCGAACGAACTCGACCAAAGTTGTTGGATTAAATGGCCCGAAAAGCTTGGAAAAAATAACAAACACGACAGTCACAAACCAACGTTCAATGTGACGCTACATGTTGAAGGAAAATCCCTCGCCAAAATGACGACTACGATGTCCCAGTGTTATTTAGACCACCGTGGAGCCAGGACGCTGAAGGTGAACAACGGCACATCGGCCATAGTTGATGAATAGTCAGGAGCCGAAATGTCAAAAAAGTCGCAAAAATGTCAAGCGTCAAGAAATTTCACTTTGAATTTCATTCGGTTGAACGAAAATTCACCAGTGAATTGGTGCGAAACAGAGTGGATCTAACTGGACCTAACAACAGCAGTCTTTCGCACCAGGTTGGTTAATGGTTAGATGTGTGACCGACACATTCTCCTAGCGTCATAGGTTCAAGGTTAGAACATTTATAGCGACCGGTTCTTTAGAAAAATGTAATGCAACCTCCAAGTCAGGATTGTGAACCAACGATTTGGGATGAGGACCTCTCTGGGTATGAGCGTCTTGGCAATATCTCAGACCGCGTGCAGCCATAATTCTCACGACTGAAAATGCTGTCGCACCACATCGGTCGTCATGTGCTGTCACTAACCGAATCACCTTATTTGTGGCATACAGTAAACCCGGTAAATAAAAACAGGTTACTGCCCTTCTTCCTTCTCTTTCACGTATTTTTCTTTCTCCTTCATCCAACCCATGGAGAACAACCTAATTGTAGGTCTATCTGATGGATCTGACAACCCTATTCGTTTTGCATAGGTCTTGGGCACGACACCTGTCGGTCAGCCAGTACGGATAGCCTCAGACATCTCGAAATTAACCTATAAGCTTGGACGCCCGGTTTATCCGTCTGCT